GAAAACTACAGATGAAATCAAAGAAAACATAGATACAATTATGGAAAGACTCAGGAAGCAAACTGACAAAATAATTGTAAAACATGGGAACCATGTTAAAATAGCAATTAGAAAGCCACAAGATTAATGCTAAGATTTCAGAAATAAATAATACACTGAAAGGCTAAAGAAATAGAATAGAATCAATGAGAAACTAAATTACTGAACTTGAAGAAAATGTTTCCATATTCGGAACAATCAGAAAAAAGAGCAAAAAATCCAAAGAAAGTCTAAGGTTTATGTGGAACACTATCAAGAGGAATAACTTATGTGTGATAGGAATTCCAGAACAGGAAGAAAAAGAACCCAGAGAGAATATTGTCCAAGAGTTGTTGGAAGAAAACTTCCCTAATATCATGAATGACAAAAAGATAGACATTGAAGAAATTTAAAGAATTCCAAACAGGATAGACCCCCCAGAGGAAAAACACTTAACACATATTATAATCAAACTTTACAGAACCAAAGACAAGGAAAGAATTCTGAGAACAGCTCAGGAAAAACGAAAAGTTACCTACACAGGAGAACTAATAAGACTAAGCTCTGAAGAAACCATACAAGCAAGAAGACAATGGAATGACACATATAATACTGTGAAAGAAACAAATTCCAACCAAGAATCATATATCCAGCAAAACTGTCCATCAAATATGATTACAAAATTAGGTCGTTTTCAGATGAATAGAAATTACAAGAATTTGTAAAAACCAAACCAACCTTACAAAAAATACTAAAGGGAGTTCTTTATACAGAGAACCAACAGTAGTAGACAACAACCTGAGACTAACATACATGACAGTATCACCTACCCTCAACCCAAATAATAGAAGTATGCAAAGTGAAACAAACCTATAAGAATTTAGAGGGAAGAAGGTAATAGAATGCTATTTTGCTAAGTAAATTTTTTTTTCAAAGCCTTTAAGAGATACAGTCGAAACATATATTTATGTGTAGAGATCAGAGATAACAGTTGTAAAAACAAGAAAAAAACAATAAAGTTGAAAAAGGGACTAAAGTAGTTACAGAACTTCTAAGTGAAAAAGCAATCAAATTGATTTGAAGAAAAAAATAAAAGTAAACCTAACTGTGACCCTAAAAACTAGATCAAGCCTTATTCCTAGCCCTGACCGAACCCTTATTTTTACCATTAACCTTAGTCCTAACCATAACCCTAACAATAAAAAAGTCCTAGTCTAGCCAAGATCTAGCCATAGTCCCAACTCTGACTTTTACTCCTACCCATTCACCCCCCCTCAAAAGATAAAAATGTGATAAAATAGAAATTGGAGAGTTAAGTGATTTTAGGAGTATGCATATGTTGACCATCAGAAAATATTGCTGATATTGTTGATTAGTGTATTCAAATATGTTTTGTGTCCTTATGTTTGTTCATTTGTCTTTTTAATTTGGAATTCATGTCTTAGAACTCATGTTATAAATGACTAATGCAGTTTCCAGCAACTCAAAATACATTTTAAAATGCACAATTGACTTTCAAATTCAGACATGCCTAAGTACTATTTTAAAATTATTTCTGTTTCTAAATTCATTCACAGTCCACCTAAGAGCATCAGGTCACATTTTTCTTCATTTGTGACATACTGGGGTCGATTAGCATGTGGGGTTGTTAAGTGCCGTCTGGTCAGTTCCTACTCATAGCAGCCCTGTATAGGGCTTCCAAGGGGTGGAACTTCCTGACCTTGCGGTTAGCAGTCCAGTGCGTATTCTACAGTACCACATCAGACTGGCATGTAAACACTAGAAAATAGTTTTGGTACTGGGAGGTGGTACATTTTTCTAGGCAATAGTAGCTTACTGTTTACAAAAGACAAGGCAACTAGTTCATCAGGGGTTCAAAATTACAGGATTAGAAGGCAGTGTCTTCAGACTCCTCCTGGCCACACGCCACTCATATCAATCAAATGTTTATATGCAGTTTGCTGATGTTTGATTTTCTCTTTTATATTCTTCAACTGAGGAGCTAACTTCTTTAAAAACATATCTATAATCAGAATTTCTACCACAGACTTACCTTCAGTATTTTTAATTTATAATATTAGGGTAGCTGATATTACTTAATAAAGCACTATCTTCAGATTATTTAATCTTCTGTGAATATATGCCATTAGGAGTCCAGGTATGGCACTATAGGATAAGCACTGGACTGCTAACAAAAATGTCGGTAGTTCAAACCCACCAGCCACTTGTCAGAAACCCTATACAGACAGGATTGCTATGAATCAGAAATGACTCTCAGGTACTAAACAACATATACGGGTAAGTAAAAAAGCATTGCTACTAGGGTTCCAGTTCATACATTCATGAATTTGTTCTAAATAATCAGTTGATGGCTGCAGATGAGCTCTCACTTTATTTTAGTCTCTCTTTAAAGTATCTTCCCAAAAAAGCCCAATGTAAACAGTTAAATTCAAGGCAGAGAGGTTAACTCAGAAGGCTGTGCTGACTGACCTTTGGGAAATCTTGGTAGATTTTCTCGAAGGACACATGATGATCACAGGGACACTAATTAGGAAGAAGTTTGTTTGGTTTATTGTTTTTTTTAAATTGAAAACTGCATTCATGAGAAAAAGACCAGGAAAGTTACAACAAGGATTTTTTTTTTTTTTTTTCCCATCATGAAAATGCAGGGTAGCAAGGGTTGTCCTTTGAGAATTTCCTTGGGAAACTTTACCCAATCATCCTACAGCCCTGATCTTGCCTCTTCAGATATCTTTTTGTTTCCCAAGACTCAAAAAACATTTCAAAGGAACATGATTTGAGTCCCCCCAGGATGCCAAAACCTCTGCTTTGACTTGGTGAGAATCAAAGAGCACAGTATTCTTTGGGCAAGGACTAGAGAGATGGAATTGTATTGCTCTAGATGGAAGATAAGTCAAGAAACCATAGCTTCACATTTTGATATTTTTGTTTAATCAAGGTTTCTGTGATTTTGTGTGTGAGAAAGAGGAGGCAGTATAGTCTCAAAAAACCAAGGAAGCACTACACAGTTCTGCTCTGTTCTGTAGGGTCACTATTAGTTGGAACTGACGCCATGGCATGCGGTTATGATTTAGTTGTAATACTTTTTTTTTTTTTTTTAAATTGTGAATTATATGATAGTCCACATAGGAAAACATTAACTTTACATTCATCCTGTCTTATATGGTTACATCGCCATGGTTACATTGTTGCAATACTTTTGATTTACCCTCTTATTACTTTGAAGACTCTTGCTAAACTTTTGACTCATGTATCTTCCTATTAATAGAGGGGCAACACAAACTCGGAGTCATCCCAGTGGTAATAACTATGAACAGATGATATTTATTTCTATTTTTAAGTAATATTCGCACTTTAAGATTGTTCCTAAGTTTTACTCTTAGATCATTAAGCCCAGAAAAGTCCTAATAAATCTCAAAGGAAAACTCCCCACACTTTACGCCAGATCAGTAAGTTGTCAGTTACTTTTTAACTTAAAAACATTATGTTGAAGAGTACTACAACATTCCCGCCCCCCCCCCAATATAATATCAAATTAAGCTACATCAGGGTCAGTTGAAGAAAACATGTTTATAGTATATATAGTTTTCATGAGTTTTAAAGGACTATGCTTAATTTCTTCACTAGTGTGTTTAGAAGAATTTATTTTGCTTTAATCTAAAAAGAACTCATTGCTCTTTAAAGAAAACCCCTCCACTAGTTTTTTATTGAAAATAGATTTTCTTATTTATTATTTACTAAATGACTGTGATTTTCCTGAAATTACATACAAATTCCCAGACAGGAAAGAAACAGAGACAGCAAAACTCATATTTCAGTCTTAAGTGTATTTGTCTAAAGTTGCATTCAGGACTTGAAAAATCAAGGCAGTAAAAAGCTGATCTTGAATGCTAAATCTGGCAAAGTGCTGGGCTATTGAATTGCATGTCCTTTTTTTTTTTTGAAATAGAAAGCATTCTCTAGTTGACTTTGGAGATTAAGTTTTTTAAAAACTGTATGTTGGATGATGAAAGTTTCAGTGTAGTTGGCATTTCATATCTGAATTACAGTTTTATATGTAGTGAAATGAAAATATAGTTGTGCTTTTATTAGCCACATAGTTTTACTGCTTTTTATATAAGGAACTATGTTCTTACTTCATAATTTACTTTGACATATGATAACATTTTTTTTTAAATTTGAAGTAATGTATTTTAACTACTCACTATTTGACTTAGACTTGTCAGAAAAGGGAATTATTTCTATATCTATTTCTGTAATTTTCTAAGCACCAAGTATTGTCTTTAACTTATTTAAAACATATCAGCCTCTGGTATTTCCTGTAGTTTCTGACTTAAAATGCTTAGAATCTAAGTTCTCTATTGTGACATAAATATGTATTTAGAATGTATCTCTTGAAGTCTTTTATTGAAAAAAAATTTACTTAGCAAAATAGCATTCTATTACCTTCCCCCTTTAAATTCTTATAACAGATACCATTTTGAAATTGAGTGTTAACTGTACCCCAAAAATGGTTTGAAATTTTAATTGTGATGTGTACTATATATAGTTGCATACCAGATGCTTTTTATAAAATTTATAAATTACAAAGATAAAACCCATAAATAAAAGAGTAACTACACAAGGTAAGATCCCTTAAGAGTGTGAGTGTGTCATCATTGTATAGAAGACTACATCTTAAGCTGTTCTGGGAAAAATACTTTTAAAATATTGTTTCCAATTGCTCTCTATTTTCACTTATAATAGTTTAAAAGCATAATTAATCATTTTAATTCAAATTTAAATAGGAATTAGATATATGTTGAATAAAAATATTAACTACTTAAAGGAAACTACTATGTGAAAGTCATTTAACATGCTAAGGAATTCAGAGACAAGACAGGATGGTCACCATGTGATTTAAATCATAGTCACTTTTAGATTTTGAACAACTTAGGGATGTTTTTAATGAAGAAGAAGGTATAAATCAAAATGGCTCAGAAAAATAAAATGGAGTGTATACAAGAATGGAATATATTTTAATACTTAGCACATTTATACAATTTTTCTTTATACTAAAAATTTTTAAATGTCCATGTTTTTATCTTCTTTTGACGTTGGAAAAATAGTCCAAGAAAACACGTTTCACAGTTGAAAGAGCCTGAAGGTTCTGTTTCAGTGAAGTCCCAGTAGTTTTATTTCAAGCAGCTTATATTGTAGAGTCACTGTCAAAGATCTTGTTTTTCAAGGTCTGTAGGTTATGTTGAATAAAGTTCTCTGTGCCATGAGATTCAGAGAATCTGGAATCGCTTCTCCTAACAGACCAATTTTTCATTTTTATTGAATTCTGAATCGTGTCAGACGTAAAGTAGTAAATTATAGGGTCAAAACAACAGTTTGTAACAGCAATGCAGAGAGTGATTGGGTACATTGTCCTTACTGCTGCCACTACTGAGCAATTCACAAACGTTTGTGTTCGCATAAGAGAATAGAAGATAAGGTTGATATTGTAAGGCACAAAACAGAAACAGAATATGACCAAATGTACAAAAATCATTTTTAAAATCTTAGTCTTGTTTATTTTGCTTCTACTTAATGTAACAGGTTTATTTAAAGTTCTTAGCACCATACTAGAACAAGTTACATTTAAAATCAGAGGAATAAAAAATCCCACTATTTCAATGAAAATCACAATCCTTGAGAGATAGTTTTTCCATGTGTCTTCTGGAAATTTTTCAAAGCAGGTTTCTGAGGTATTGTTATCCTGAGCATGGGTAGACTGAAAAAAAACTGCTGGAGCACTTCCTCCAAGCACAGTTAACCACACAGCAATGCAAACAATTTTTGCATTTCGTTTGGTTCTGAGAGTCTTTGACTTAAAAGGATAGAGGATTGCCAGAAATCGATCTACACTAATACAGGTTAAGAATAGAATGCTTCCGTACATGTTGGTGTAAAACAACATCACTGAAATCTTACAAAGTAAGTCTCCAAATGGCCAATCCCGTGTTGCAAAGTAAAAAATCCTGAAGGGTAAAGTAAAAACAAAAAGCAAGTCTGACATGGCCAGGTTAATCATATAAGTTGTAGTTTCATTTCGAACTTTGAGTGTGCAGATGAAAATGTATATTGCAACACAGTTTGCTATCAATCCAAGCACAAACACCATACTGAACATGCACCCATATAAAGTGTACTTAAAGGAGTCATCATAGGAGCAGTGGGAGCTATTAATGCTTACCATTATAAAGGAACTTTTCAGTTGGCTGTGTTGAAGTCCTTTTGTCAGCTGCAGTCTCCTTTGGCATTCAGATTGTTACCAGTTTATAACCTCCAATTTATTTGCAAATTCTTTGTCTCTTTGGGTGGTTTTATAAATATTTCCTTTTTCTCTGGAACCTCCAAAAGAAACATGGAAGTTGTTGTAAAATTTCCACTGGGTTATTCAGTGGGAAAACACTCTCTCATCTTCTAGTCTCCAGAAAATCCGTGAATCCAGGGCTTGGTTAACCGATGAGAATTTTTTTTTAATGCAGTCAATAAAGCCAACCCATGGAATTAAAGAAACACTGTATTCCAAGACGGCAATAAAATGAGTTGTTTTGTAAGCTTGTATTTCAATTATCAAGGTGAATATTCCAAATTCAAAGTTTCCTGAAGCTCCAGAATGTTTAAATTGAAGTTGCCAATCTTGTTTTGCTCTCCAGTGCAAAGTTTCAGAGATTTACACATTCCCAATTTGCTCTCATTCACATCTTGTTCCTTTTGAGTGAAGTTTTTCTTTTTGGTATTCCTGTAGTGGATGGTAGTTAGCAGAAGTGTATTAAAGGTTCCGAAATAAATTCCTTAGCGTGTTCACGCTTGCTTGCTGAATTGAGGCTTTTCCCGCAGTTGCCAGCTGTATTGTGTGATAGGCTTTCTCTGAAGTGAAAAAGAAAGGTTTGCTAGATTTGTAATATGACATCACAGGAAGAAGAGGCCGGGCTTAGACAAAGAATGGTTTCAGCCCAGTTTGTTTGCAGTTCCTTTAATCTGATAATGTGTCGGCTGGGAATATACATAGGAGGCTTGCAAATGGTCACTGGCTGTTTAGCTGAGCTGGCTGCCCATTAATTCTTTTTTGTGTAGAAATGCCTTCTAAGGTACTGGCAACCTCTCAAGGAAAGTGGTAGGTTTTTTCCCAGGTAATCATTGGTAGCGTAAAAACAAAAAACAGTGTTAAGCTTCTTTCCCTCTAATTTAGTTGCTTTTGTGCTTGAGATATGACTTTTGTTTTTCTTTAAGTACTTATTGGCATATGTTTATAAATTGAAATTGATACTAGTTTTATCTTAATGCAGCATTTAAACAAAAGAAAAAGGAAAATGACTGTAAGAGAGAAGTTTCACCTCTAGACATTAAAAAAAAGATATGATTAGGGACCAGTGGTTCTTCTACTCCTGGCTTCTGTTTTTTTTGTTTTGTAATTGCTGCTAAAGATTAACTTGATTTAATTGGTCTTCTTGTGTGTAGCCCAAATTCTAGGCCTCTTTTAAGTTTTGATGAACGATTTTCTAGCATTCTTTCCTCTTTCCTAGGAAATGGAATTAATAATTTAGAACTGTTTTGATTTTCAAACTACCCCTCTTCACCAAGGAATAAATTCAAATAGGTTTGCTGTTAATCTTGTTTTACCCATAGATGTAGGCATTTTTTAAAAAAACTCAGTGTGGTCCCCTCAAATTGATATAAACCAAGTTTTGTAGAATTAAAAAAGTCACCACTTTATTAAAATTTAGATTTGTAATTTATTTTCATTCCTCCCATCCCTTCTGCAACCCCTTAATATGACATCAACTATCAGAAAATGGTGCAGATTTTGTCACATGTAGAAGTTTCTGTGAGTGATTTATGTATTTATATTTTAAGTATAATTGATTTTTAAAGCCCAAAGAAATCAGAAGAAGAAAGTATATGTGGGAATAGGGTACTTGAGTATACGTGTTATTTCCTTGAGGATTGAAGATATCCCAACCTTGGAGACATACTTGTTGAAATATTTTCCTTATAAAACATTTTATAAGTTTTTTAGAAAAGGCTAGATTGCCTTGTGTTTTATTTGTTTTTTTTTTTAAAATTTGATTCGTTGTTACTGAAACTCTTCAGGTATTGAGTAAGAATATGTAGGGCTTTTAAGGACAATTTTTTTCCCTATAAATCAGCCAATTTAAAAGTAATATAGTAATATGTTTTATACTATTTTTATACCATTTTAATTTGGATTGCTTTTACTCAGCAACCTTTGTTGTTCATTGATGGAAGTCCCCTGAAATGTAATCTGTTTTCATTGTTTGAACTAGAGAATTCATGTGTAACGAAAAAAACGTGTTGCTTATAATCAGTAAACGGCAACTGCAAGGTCAGCAGTTCAAACCCACCATCCCCTCCTTGGAAACCCTATATAGGGTCGCTCTGAGTCAGAACCAACTTGACAGCACTTAACAACAACATAATAATAAACTTAAAATTTAAAATGTAAAAGGCTGAATTTCTTTAGACTAACACATTTGGTGTAGAAGAACAGTAGTACATGTATGAACGTATTATAAAGGTAGTGGAAACTTTGAATAGTAGTGAAAGCAGGAGTATCTGAAAAGCTTCTTTACTCACTGGAGAAAACCTTTATTATAGATATTTTAGAAAATACTGAAATCTTAGTAATCTACTTTCAAATTGATATTCTCCTATGTTTGGTCATCAAAATGAAATGAAATAAAAATGAAAGTAAACAAAGTCATATTATTTAACTGCTTTAATGATGACCAAACAAAGAACATCAATTTGAAAATAGGTTACTAATATTTTTATCATTTTTCCAAGTATGGCATTTTCTCAATTGAAGAAATAAAATATATTAACTATATTTGAAACACTATTGTATATGCTGAAGTTGTTTCTCAGTTGAAATTATTTTTGCTTCTGGGAATAAAGATACCTTTATGGTTTTTCGTGTTTCAGTTATTGGTACTTAAAAACACAGATATTTAATTTGCTAGTTGTTATACTAAAAATAAACATTTTTAGTATATGTATACTACCATTGAGTTGATTCCGACCCATAGTGCTTTTATAAGACAAAGTAGAACTGTCCCATAGGATTTCTGAGACTGTAAATCTTTACTGGAGTAAGCTGGTAGATTTGAACTGCTGACTTTGCAGTTAGTATCCCAATGCCTAACCCACAGCTCCACCAGGGATCATATTTCTAGTTCTTATCAAGATGCCTGACCTTTAATAAAGACCCATGTTGCTGATAGATGAATCATATCAATGAATTTGAATTGTGTTAAAAGTTCCTGGTATTGAGGAAGTGGACTGTCCATTTTCCAGGAAGAAGATAATTGAATACTAGATTTTTTGAGATATTTAATGTAACTTCTAACTAAGGAACCAAAATAAAATTTGATACCTAGAAAAATCCTTTGATTAGGATTGAAAACTATAACTAAATGCAAAGAACTTTAAATACATTTAGGTAATTTTGAATTTTATACTTGTATTTTTTATACTGGTGTTGCTGTAGACTAAAAACTGGACTGCTAACCAAAAGGTCGGCAATTCAAGCCCACCATCTGCTCCATGGGAGAAAGATTAGGTTTTCTGCTTCTGTGAAGGTTTTAAGAATACCTTTTAAAAAATAAAATTTGCTACATTTGAAATGAATGCATTTTAGATTAAGGGATGTAAATTAATACTCAGAAAATTCTTCCCACATTTTTCACATTTAAAAATTTTAACTGTATCACACTGACATTGTTTCCAAACTTGATATGGTGCTGTAGGATAAGCACTGGACTACTAATTGCAAGGTTGGTGGTCGAAACTCTGGTTCCTTGAAAAATCCTGTATGGGTCACCGTGAGTCTGAATCCACTTATAAAGCTACCTAACAACAACAGCATGGTTTACATATAACAAAATATACTAAAACTTAAATGTTTAATTCTATTCCTTTTTATAGTATACTCATTTAGTGAAAAATATAATCTACTGTAAAGTCTGTTTTGGAGTCCTGGTGTGGCACTGTAGGATAAGCACTGGACTGACTACAAGGTCGGTTTGAACTACAAAGTCAGAGGTTCAGGCTCACTAGCCACTCCTTGGAAGCCCTACACAGGATCACTGTGAGTTGGAACTGACTCAGCTGTACTTAACAACAGCAATGTCTGTTTAGAAGCAAGAAGAGTATAAATGAATAATTAGTTGGTTCATTCATAAATTGTTCTGTGACCTCCTGGGGGTTAGGGTGGGGAGAGAAGTGTGGGTTAGTAATAGGAAGGCAAGAGACGATGTTATAACATCATATAGCTAGAAGTACTTGAGTTAAGCCTAGAAAGTGGCAGTGAGAATGAGGAAAAGGTGCAGTCAAAACAGATAATATTGTCAAGGCCAAAAGTGAACAGTACAGAAAGGAGGAAGAAGGAAAGATGGCTGAGGAGCTCACCTTACATGGTGTTTGCTTCAACTATTAAGCAAATAAAATATTAAGATAATTCAATAAAGGTTCACTTATTCATTCAACAAAATTTATTTAAGGTAGTTTCATATTGGACCTGGATGAGTCAGATTCCAGGCCTCTTCAAAGCCACAGCAGTTGTAGAAATTTACTCAAAAACCTAAGCTATGAGACGGAACCAACTTGAGAGCAATTAACAACAGCATCCTCCTTGTTCATCCATGTTATGAGATGTCTCGCAGGTTCATCTTTATTCTTAACATTGTTTGCTTTTCCATTGTGTCTATGTACCATAGTTTGTTTATCCATTTGTCCCTCTATGAGCATCTAGGTTGGTTCCATTTTTATGCTATTGTGAATAGTGCTGAGTATGAGTATGCATATATCTATTCATATGGTTGCCCATATTTTTCTAGGATACATACATACATACATACACACACATACACACAAGTAGAATTTCTGGGTCATATGATACTTCTATTTCCAACTTTTAAAGGAAGCATCATACTATTTTCCACAATGCTTGTGCCATTTTACAGTCTCAGCAGTGTAGGAGGGTCCCAGTCTTATATACACCCTTGCCAGCATTTGTTGTTTTCTGAACTTTGCTATTAATGCTGGGGTGAGATAATACCTCCTTATTGTTTTGATTTGCATCTCTCTAATGGCTAGTGAAGGAGCTCTGGTAGCGTAGTGGTTATGAATTGGGCTGCTAACGTCAAGGTCGGCAGTTCAAAACTACCAGCTGTTCTGTGGGAGAAAGATGAGACTTTCTGCTTCTGTAAAGGTTTACAGCCTCAGAAACCCTGTATAGGGTCACTATGAGTCAGAACCGACTCCACGGTACTTAACAACAACAACAAAAATGGCTAATCATTACAAGCATTTCTTAATATGTTTATTGGCCACCTGAATATCTTCTCTGGGCCCATGTCTGATATGTTT